TATATATATAATCACTACATTTGTTTTCATAGCCTTCAGATTGCACATTGTTTGGAGGACGACACTGGGCAGGATGTGAAATTAGATTTTTAATAATGGATTAAATTTACTTGTTTTTTTTATTACATTTTAATAATTAGTATTTGGATTTTTATTAGGGATGTACCATTGTATCGGCCAATAATTGTTATCGGCTGATAAAAGCAATTATCTGCACTCGGCCGATTGTTTAAAAGCAGCCAGTGATCAGGGCCGATTATTTCCTGTCAATCAAAAGGTGGCAGAAAAGCGTGTCAGACAGCAACTTGTGAAGAAAATGTTTCTTGTGTTGAATTTAGGGCTGTCCAGTTTAAAGCATTAATAACACATTAATACAGTGCTGATAACACAGGTTCTATTTGACCCTATGGACCACCTGTAGTTCAATCCAGGGTTGCCAGGTCTGCAGTTTTTCCTTCCCCAGACATTATTTGTAATGTGCCTCCAATCACAACGAGCTTTGCGCTTTGTTACTTCTGATAAGAAACAAAGTCTCATCTTTCAAATCCTGTACATTTTGGGCCCTATCATACACCCGGCGCAAGGCGCGGCGCAAGTGTTTTTGCTAGTTTCAGCCAGACGCAGTTCTCATTTTCCCATCCTGCGCCGCGTAACCTGTGCTGTGCGCTTTAGACCATGCGCTTAGATCGTTAATATAGGGCCCAATATCACAAAATTCAAACAATAAATGCAGTTTTGATGCTCTTGAATGTGGCGTGAGCGATCACTGTAGCAGCTTCAGTTCAAGCGGCAGCGCGGTGCGCAAGTCTATTCCCCTTTAATACAAGTTATAGCATGAAATAAACATGAATGAACATCAGAAGGTATGAAAGATACAGTACAACTTACCGAAATTTATCATGTCTCATATATTCATATAATCATTGCATTTACCTTAAAATTATCCAGTGTTCAGAGTTGGTTAGTTAGCTATAAAAACACTAGAGAGAAGCTTATTTACTGTTAATTATATAAGTATGTTTGAATAAATCTTTCATGAAGACAAGTTTTTATGAAAACTACCTTATGTGCAATTGAATTGAGTGTGATTATTATATCTAAAAATAAATGTCATTGAATATAATAGTGTAATGTACCAAATGAGAGGAATCCCTGTAGTTTACAGCATAAGTTGGGAGAGATGTTTTCTTTCCTTTAGAAAACCAAATATCGGCAGATAACATTCTGAATAATCGGCTATTGGTATTGGCTGATAAATTTCATATCGGTGCATCTCAAATTTTTATCAGATTATTTAAAGAAGTAATCAACAGATTAATCGATTATCAAAATAATCGTTAGTTGCAGCCCTAATTGCTTCATACACCTGCTCAATCTTTGTCATGTGATGTGATCTTTTCTTGAGTAGGTCCCGGTTGGTGACCAGCCTGAAGATATCGAGACTCAAGTCCAAGAGATGATTCTGTCGTACATCTCCAACCCCAACTCCCTCATCCTGTGTGTTTCTCCTGCAAACTCTGACCTCGCCACATCGGATGCCCTTAAACTGGCACGAGAGGTGGACCCAGATGGTGAGCTACATGTAGAGAATGTCCAGATGTCATTAGTACACATCGAATGGCACTGTGGGAAGGGAGTGTATTCATTGGCTGTGTGCACTCAGGTCGCAGGACGCTGCTGGTGGTGAGTAAGCTGGATTTGATGGACGCGGGGACAGATGCTCTGGAGGTGCTGCTGGGCCGGGTCATTCCCGTGAGACTGGGCATTATTGGTGTGGTTAACAGGTCAGTTACCCTATTATCTCTTACCCTGTCTGGATTTTAAATGTAATAACATGGGTGTAGCTTGACACTTGAGCATGAGAGGGCCAAACCGAGCCAGTCGATTTGGTCAGTCACACTTTTAAACACATTTTAGCTTTTCTATAGTAAACCTATATAGATCATGACTATGGACTATGTAGGACTATGTAGATCAGCAGGAAGCGTGTGTGGTTGTCACTGCAACCAGATCACCAGATCACATCACACGTGAATTACTCGTAAGGGCAATAGACACATGGAAAATAATGCACTGTAGACATGTTTGTCAACACAATCACAAAGCTTATAAAGCAAATCAACTAACCCAGTGCTTTAAATCAGACATCATTTGGGAATGATTCAAGTTGAACACATAATTGCAGGCACACAAACACTTTATATTTAGTAAATCTTCCTGAAAATAAATGAGTAAGCAGTTTATATTTTTAAAATAATTTTGGTTTGGTTCCGTGTCTATTATCCACCAAAATGCAGATTCGTTACTCAACAACTTGTTACGCAAATGGGATTGGGGAGGCCTTAGTAAGTTTAATTTGATGTATTAAATTATTTACAAAATAGCAATTTAACATGTATTAAAATACCTACATTATATGCATATTTACTTTTGAATTGAAAATATATATATATTTTTAATAAATATTTAGTCCCCAATTTTCAGCATATTTTCATATTAATTATATATTGTCATTAAATTGAATTGTAATGATAATGCTGTAAAAGCACATATGCAGAACTCTATATATCATGTACATGTTGCCTACTTTTAAATTGTGATTTAAATATTCTCAAGAAATGTGAGTATTTGTATTTTCAGTCCACTGTATTTTAATACATTTAAGCTGTTTAATATGAATTTAATATATTATTACATTATTACTGTTAATAATAATATGTATAGCAAATTCAGATACAGAAACTCTATGGTTCAAAAGTTTGGGGTCGTTATTATTTACTGCAATAATGTTTATTTAATATTTACTACTATTTTTGAAAGTTTCTTATTCTTACCAAAGCTGCATTAATTTAATAAAAAATACAGTATATAAGTAATAAAACATTGAAAATAACAGTATTTATTCGAAATAGACAATTTACAAGTCTTTTGTAACAATGTGAATTTTTTTACTGTCACTTTTGATCAATTTATTGTGCACTTAAACCCTTCTTAAAAAATATTTAAAAAATTGAAAAAATGAAATACCTCTGAACTTTGACTGTACTGAGTTTTTGTTGTTCTGTGCAACTTGATGGTATAAGTGCTTGAAAAGCAAAAATCATAGATCCCTCTAGCACTTTTAGCAAAGCAGGTGGTCATTTCACCTCGAAACTGCACCAATTTGGACCTGCAGCAACGTATTTCACATTTTACAGAAGTGCAGAGTCTGTTTTTTTTTTCTCATGAGGCTGAATAGATCATTACAGAACTCATTTACATATGAAGTGCTAGAGGCACAGCAGCAAAAACAGCCTGTTTAAGCATAAGGGTCAGTGAGAGGGTGGAAAATGACCATGTAAAACTACATCACAACAAGCACATGAAACCTTGAATAACATTTTAAGTGGACCTCAGGGAAAAAATAAAGTGCTACAGAAGTGCAGCACACAGCCCTTTTGACTGCAGTAGAAACTTAATCAACCATGTGAAAAAGCCACAGTGTAATTTTCCTTCATTTCCAGTTCCTCTATCATAACCCTAAGCAGCAGTGACTGTAATATTCCCTGCGCTGTTATCCTCTCCTCTCCCGCCCTGTCTATTCATGCACTAGCACCCAAGGGTACCATGTCTTCCCGCTATCAGCTAACGCAGAGCCGTGTTTGAGATAAATCACTGGTTTATTCAGCTTTGGCTTTAGTAAGTCCTTTAGGGCCTGTACAAATACAGGAGGCAATTTAGTTGGGCAGAAGAACTGCAGTGACACTTTTCATTTCTCGATTCTCGTTAAGTTAATCAGACGTAGCTGCGGGCCATCGTCTCTTTTTTTTTTAACCTACGCTCTCTTTGAGGATTTAACAACGAGCCGTCAAACAGACGATTTCTGGGAGAGTGTTTATGGAAAGCAAGCACAGGCAACAAATACAAGACGTGTTTGGTGCAATATATTGGTCAGACTTTTTCGTTTTATCAGTAGTGTTTGCTCAGGGAAGCATCAATGTTACTGTTGCTTATACTTGAGGTCAGAGGTTCAAAGTGCAGGCTGTTTAGGGATCGTTTAAAGGAATAGTTCACCCAAAAATGAAACATCTGATAAAACATCACAATAATCCACACGTAATCCACATGACACCAATCCATCAGTTAATCTTATGAAGTGATCTGTAGGGCATGTTTGTAAGAAACAAATCCATCATTAAGATGTTTTTAACTTTAAACTGTTGGATCCAATGCTAAAATAAACTCTCTCTATCCATAAAATAGCTTTCTCCAGTGAAAAAGTTGTCTTGTCTGAATCAGGAGATAAATATACACAAATCAAGCACAGTTTACAAGTAAAAAAAAAAGGGCAAATGGGATGAACTTTTGTACTGGAGGAAGCGTTAATATGGATTATGGACTCATATTTTATTCGGAAGCAATGGTTTGATGTTAAAACATCTTAATGATGGATTTGTTTATTACAAACACACAGCTTTTCAGTTCACAAGTCATTAACTGATGGACTGGAGTGGTGTGGATTACTTGTGGATTATTGTGATGTTTTTATCAGCTGTTTGGACTCATTCTGACGGCACCCATTCACTGCAGAGGATCCATTGGTGAGCAAGTGATGTGATGCTACATTTCTCCAAATCTGCTCCCATGATGAACAAACAAACTCATCTACATCTTGGATGGCCTGAGGGTGAGTAAATATTCAGGACATTTTCAGTTTTGGGTGAACTACTCCTTTAACATAAAATATCAGGAAGTGAGTTCAAGGTGCATATTTTCACCGCTCAAAACAGTTTTTCCTAAACTTTACTAAATGAATGAGTGTGAGTACCTCAAAGCAACAACAGATAAAGGGAGTGTGTGATCTTTTCAACCAGTCTATAAGCAAGTTCCTGTTGTGCTGTTTGGTGGTCATGCAACAACAAACCACGATTACAGTATCTAACTGATGTGTCAGAGGTGAATATATGCAGGTTATAAAGCGTTTTTGGTTTCTTCTCTACATATAAGCACATTATCACTTTGAGAAAGCTAATATATTCGGTGAATGCATTTGCACTACAGATGACTGCCCTACTGATTACAGATGACTACTATATACTGAAAATAATGTAAAATATTGTTATGTAGACAAATACTTTATGAGCGAGGTTACTGCCTGCTCTTCATCATGAAATATTTAGTATAACAAACATTATTATACTGGAGTGACAGTATTATGAATTTTAAATATTTTCACTATGTAGTGAGTGTGAAAAGTGTATCAAACGTATTCCGTTAAAGTAATAGTTTAGCATTGCGATTTTAATAAAATGCTGTGCATTGAACTTGTCTGGGTTTGGTGTTTCCATTTTGAAATGGAAAATGTGTAGAAACCCTGCAATAAGCAAAAACCCCAAACCCACCCGAAACCACCCTAGCAACTGCCTAGCAATGCCCGAGCAACCATTCACAACACGTTTTCTTTAGAAAATGTAAAACTGTGGTTTTCATTCCTAGTTAGCATGGGCACAGTACTTGGGACTTTGTTGACAGAAGCAAAGGTAGAAGCTGCTTTTTTCCAGTAGTGGGCAGTATACTAACAATTTTCAGTTTAGCTCTATCCTGTAAGAATGCACTGCAGATTAATTTAGAAATTCTCTGTGACCGTAATGAAAGAGCTGAAGACCTTTTTGTCAGAGTGAAGCCTTTTTCTCAAAGAACAATTCATGCCTAATGATTTCAGCAATCTCTATATTTAAAGTCAACATGAAATCAATGGTAACTCGATTTTCTGTCTTACTGAGCCTACTTGGTCTTATTATGAATGACTATGTGGACCTTTTTCCAAAGGATAAAATAATTAATATCTCGCTCTGTCTCTAAAATTATCTCTTTTTTGGCCCCTTCAACCGCCGTTCATATACACTGCCGGTCAGTAAAGTTTTTTTTGTTTTTTTCTTAGAATGTAATACTTTTATTCAAGAAGGATGCATTAAATGGATCAAAAGTGACCTTAAAGACATTCAAAATATTATAAAAGATTTATGTTTTAAATTTTGCTTTAAACTTTATATTCATCAAAAGAATCCTGGAAAAATGGCGATCACAGTTTCCAGAAAATATGAGGCAGCACAACTGTTTCAAGATTGATAAAAATCTGAAATGTTTCTTGAGCATCAAATCAGCATATTAAAATGATTTCTGCAGGATCCTGTGACACTGAAGACTGGAGTAATTATGCTGAAAATTCAGCTTTGATCACAGGAATAAATTATATTTAAAATATTATTGACATAGAAAACAGCTGTAATCATTTTTCCACAGTATTACTGTTTTTACTGTAAATTTGATTAAATAAATGCAGCCCTGATGAGCATAAGAGACTCTCAAAAACTGTACAAAACCAAAGGGCCTTGCTGCCCAGTCAATAATTCCACAGTCATTGTGATTTTTTTTTTTTATTCATTTATTTTTTTCATGAAAGATTCCTTTGAAAGGTTCCTGGTTCCTGAAAGGAAAAGACCAAGGCTGCATAACATCAAGTTTAATGATCTAGAACAAATTTTAGAGCTTTAGAGATAACCAAGTAAATAGATGCAGTTTTTATGTTTGTGTCCTGCCACCGAATCACACACAGAGGATTATGGGATATTATAAGAAGCAATAGATAGTTCCTAAAACCTACTAGATGAAAGCATCCTATCAGACAGGATGTTCTGCAGACAGTGCAGCGCTCTGGTGCCTTCATACTTCTTTTTACATTTTTCAGGCTTCAATCCACTTTTCACTGTCCAATCCTATAATCACTTTTTTTTTTTTTTTTTACTTCACCAGGAGCCAACATGACTTGAACACCCAAAAGAGTCTTGACGACTCCTGCAAAGACGAGCAGGTGTTCCTGCAGCGGCATTACCCATCATTAGCCTCCCGCTGTGGCTCCCGCTACCTGGCTCGCACCCTGAGCCGACTGCTCATGCATCACATCAGAGACTGTCTCCCGGAGCTCAAGACGCGAGTCACAGTGCTCACGGCCCAGTACCAGTCCCGACTAAACAGCTACGGCCAGCCAGTGGAAGACCACAGCGCCACCTTGCTGCAGATCGTTACCAAGTTTGCCACTGACTACTGCAACACCATCGAAGGCACTGCCAGGCACATCCAGACCTCTGAATTGTGAGTACCTGAACCAACACGCTTTAGGATGTTTTTTCTGCAAACAAGTTCCTTTAAATGATTGTTTTTCTTATTTCCTCTAAAGGTCTTTTCACATTAAAGGGATAGTTCACTCAAAAATGAAAATTCTGTCATCATTTGATTAAATCATTTAATTAAATGACTTCCATAGAACAGAAAAAAATACTATCAAAAGTATATGGCGACTGTCAACTGTTCTTCAAAATATATTATTTTATGCTCAACAGAAAAAAAAAAAATTGAGTAAACAATTTTCATTTTGGGTGAACTGTCCTTTTAAGATCAAATATTTACCCCACAAACAATATTCTGAATCATTAAGCTGTGCGTTTCCCAAAAGCATCAAGTTCCGTCGCTGCCAACATAGTTCAGTGATTTGATGTTTTCCCAAACCATAGTTCAATCTACTTCAAAGATTATTTTGATAATCGATTAATCTAACAATTATAAGAATGATTAATCGACTAATCGTTGATTATTTTGCTAATTATTCCGTAGGCTTTGATCGGTTATTTCGCTTTTGCAGTCCGTTAAAATATCGAGTTATGGATATTCTATACATATTGACATAGAGCTGTTTTATAGCAAAAAATCAAGTTGTAATTCTAACTGAAAGTGACACTGATGCTGTTTTTCATGTTTAATCAGAATCAGAATTAGCTTTATTCGCAAAGTGTGTGTTTTTTTTAGGAGCTCTTTGTACATACAGTACATACATATATGACATGAGAACAGAAAGAACAATTAAACAAGACAAAAAAAATTTAATAATAATAATGTGGTCAAATCTGGAACCGAAGATTTATGTACAGATGTGTGCATTATTTACTGTACAGTTGTATAAATAAAAATATGCATATGTATTTACATAATACTTGAAAGACTACTGAAAGAAAAAAGGAAATGGAGAAATGAATTACAGAAAACAGGTAATCATTTCTGTGTAAGCTATATGAATAATGTAAAGCTTTACATTATTAATGATGTAAAGCTAATTGCTTCAAAACAGTCTTTTCCATAAAGTGCTGTGTAAATAAACGTATCAGCAGAGCTGGTGCAATCATCCACGTCGCTATGATCAGATGCTTTCTTAACTGCTGTTTTCCCACAATTTCATGCTTTTTGTGTGTTTATTTTGTTATTGAGAGGCAAATGCCCAGCACATTCAGTATTTCCATATTCTTAACATCGCTCTCAGCAGTGGCAGGATGTTCTCTAACAGTAAACTGCTGTTTGCGTATATCAAACTTCTTTATACCCCTAAGCAAAGAACGAAAAAGAACGTTGCCTTGAGTCTATTGGGGTCTTTACACATGGCAGCATCTTTTGTTTGTAATTTTGTAAAGCTTTCCTACACTGTACTGCTTTGGCTTCTTTTGCACTTCTCATAAGTGTTTCTTCTTTTGGATTGCAGGCAGGAGGGCTGAATTACAGAATTATAATAATGCAGTGACTATTCGACAACAAAAATATTTGTAGACAATTTTTTATTGACGACGTTGTCAATAGCGTTGACTAAGCATGTCAGCCGTAGTTCAAACAAACATTGGCAATCGGGATCGCAAACTTAGATGGTCAGAATCTTGATCTGTCATTACAAACATAGTCTCTTGTTAGTATGACATGTGGACTTATAGATCATGTTTTTGGGCACAATAAGCAAGCTAACATGCATTACATTCAATTTGTATATACTATATATACATTTTAATCTACATATTTTATTGTGTCCTCAATAAGCAGCATTTTGAAGAGTGTGCATGTGTATAAATGCGTCTTTAAAGATAAAAATGTTATTTTTGAGGAGCAGAGAATAGTGTCTTAGTCTAGCTTTTGCCGTCTAGTCATAGCCAATACTGTCTATAGCATAGCACTTCATCTTTTATAGCCTATTTTTGGCCAAATGTATTTAATGACAGAAAAAAATGAGTGCCCATATAAAACTGAGCGCCCTTATACAATACACTTTGTGACCTGTAAATTGGTGAAAATGTAATGAAGTGCAATTCTTATCTCATATCACTCGCTGGTCAAAATGACACATGCAAGTGTCTGACCATATGTACAGCCACAATACCAACTTTGACAATGCAGAGTTTAATTATTTAAAAACTACAGGGCTTATCTGAGGGAATGATGAGACTACTGGACCAGTGGTACTCTGACACCGAGACATTTCAAATGATACCAAAACATGACATGAAAATCACTTGCATTCATGTAGAACATTGTATTTTCAATATAACCACATTTGAGTGAACTGAGAGAAGGAAATGGTGAGAAGAAACCAATGTAAAGGAAGGACAGGTGAGAATCTTTACTCAGTGAGGTGTGGAAGCAGATGCCTGTAGATGCCAGATGCTGAGTTTGTATTGTCCATATCCGAGGGGATCAAAGTATTTTGAGGTTCTTCCAGGAATCAGAATAATTGATACAAAAAGGCGTACAAAATTGCAGTAAAATGGGAGTGTATGTGTGTGTGTGTGTGTATATATATATATATATATATATATATATATGTGTGTGTGTGTATTGTAGATGCCTCCTAGCATTTCTTTTTTACAGCTGTTTGTAACATAATATCCCAGTTTTATGTTACACACAGTTTTATTTTTTTTAAATAAAAAAAGTGTAACTTTTTTTTTTTTGCATGTAGAATCACATTCAGCCATTGAGGCCACATTTTAATTTAATTTAATTTATTTATTGAAAAATTAAAAATTCAGTTTGAAGTGCCTTTCTCAGTTTATTTCCAACATTTTATTTTAATTTTGTATTTTTTGCTGGGCACATATATATATATATATATATATATATGTGTGTGTGTGTATTGTAGATGCCTCCTAGCATTTCTTTTTTACAGCTGTTTGTAACATAATATCCCAGTTTTATGTTACACACAGTTTTATTTTTTTTAAATAAAAAAAGTGTAACTTTTTTTTTTTTGCATGTAGAATCACATTCAGCCATTGAGGCCCCATTTTAATTTAATTTAATTTATTTATTGAAAAATTAAAAAATGCTGGGGGTCTTTAGGAAGGAGTTTTTGTAGGTGCAGTTTATTTACATCCACTATATGTGTATATGTATGCCCAGCAAAAAAAATACCAAATAAATACGAAATCATATTTGTATATGATTAATGTACATACCTGGAATGTACGTGTGTCATACCTGGAATTTTTAAATTCGGCTTGAAATTAAAATTCACCCCATCTATTTTCGAAATGGATTTTTTAGATCTTATTGTGAACAATTAATCCATGTATGTTTCAATGTTTAAAAAATGTTTTAACCTCGTAATTTTCCCGGGTTCATGCAGGACCGTATAATGTCTTAAATTCAGTTTTATCAAACATAAGGGCATAAAAAGCCTTTAATAGTATAATACAAGTCTTAATTATCATTTTACAAGGACTTAAAGGGACAGTTCACCCCAAATTAAAATTGTCATCTTTTACTCACCCTCCACCAAACAGCTGATGGTAGTCATTGATTTCCATAGTATTTTTTCCCTACTATGAAAATCAATGGCTACCGTCAACTGTTTGGTTACCAACATTCTTCAAAATATCTTCTTTTGTGTTCAGCAAAAGAAAAAACATACAGGTTTGGATCAAATGGAGGGTGAGGTAAACCAGATTTTTTGGGTGAACTATCCCTTTAAACTTGGCTTCAGAAAAACAGGAATCCCAATTAAAAGTAGTGCTATGGTATCGCAATGGTTTGCGATAAATGAGTGATTTAGTACTTCAAAAAGTTATGTATGGTCAAAGTATTAGGTCGATGCAGATAGTATAGCATCTGGCACGTGGATGTTAGTTGGGATTGATATGTGTGCGTGTGCTCTGACGCAAGACTCAAGCAGCGATGCTTTCATAGCGAGCTAATCTGATAAGATGAGTTAGCCTAAAGGGGGTCGCACACCGGACGAGAAGCGCAGCGCCGCCTTTAGGACAACTCCCAGGTATCACACTCCAGACGTGTCACGTTCAGTTCAAGACAGCAGTGAGTCAATCTAATCACCAAACAGCCAAATGTTCACTTTAAGAATGAACAAAGTTGCGTCGATGAGTTTGAAGTATCTTATTTGACAAAGCAGAGCAAACTAAGTGATTGTCGCTCTGCGGCGCAGCAGGATTTTGAATAGCGTCCAGAGCCGCCGCGGACAGTCGCTGAGTAGCAGTGCCGGTGTGCTTACACTCATAGAAAACAATGTGTTTGAATTTTAAAGACAAACACATTTGCTGTACTTCTTGTCCGGTGTGCGACCTTTTTAAGGCAGCCGCAGCTGCTGCTGACGATTTAGTGCCAAAACGAAGAAGCACCTCAAATATATGACAGTATTTTGGCTTTTAAAGAGATGACCAAATGCAGACTGAAGTTATAAGTAAAACATGAAAATCTCGAGTGGCAACGCAAAGGGAAAACACTACAAATTTGTACAGTCACCTCAAAGCGAAGCACAACAATTTGTATGAGCTATGCTTGGCAGAAAAATCAATCCTTGTTCCTGAAAACAATCACAAAAACGAAGCAACGATCCATAGCATAAGGCTTTAACAATGTCCGATTTGTTTTATGCAACAATAAAACATGGCTGTTCATTTTCAGAAGTTGTAATGATCCTTTCTTTTCCCTGAAATAACGTGAACGATATGTTGGTTATATAATTTTTTTAAATATATTTCAATACAATTTAAATTGATTTTAGAAAAATAAATATTGTATCGCATATTGAATATCGCATTATTTAGCATGCTATCGCATATCGCATTTTTCTTCAATATCGCACAGCCCTAATTAAAAGTTTAGTAAAGCCAGCCAGTTAGGTTTGAACTTGTGATCTGAGAAAGCTCTTGCCATTTTTGAGCGCGATAATCATCAGACAGTCAAAGATCGTGTCATAACTGTTATTTGTGGAGCCACTTACTAAAGGTTGCCTTCTTACGCCATGCTATTGAGTTTGACACACTGTCATAACCAAGACTACATTCCTGCTAAATCGTTTTTTTTCTGTGACTTCAGCAGCATCTCAGTCTGTCATTTTCACTCTGAAACTAGACAGATATCAAGCAACACCATGTTTAGTTTGTCTGCTTGGCTGAATCTGACAAGCAGAGAATCCGCGAGTCTGCCCAGCTCCTTATTTACACCCTGTGCACTGTTGGATGAAATGCTGTTCATCTCTCATATCTGGCTAAGTCCACACCAGCTATCGATTCATTAAGTGCCTCGCATTGACGTTTTCTGGCTGGACGGTTGGGTACGACTGCAGGCCTGTGTGAATGTGCCAACGTGCCTGTGAATCCCTAAAATTATTTTTAATTTTCGTGGATTGACTTACTGACTGTGTGTGCATTTGTTAAATGTAGGTGTGGAGGAGCTCGTATCTGTTACATATTCCACGAGACGTTTGGAAGAACTCTGCAGTCTATTGACCCACTTGGAGGACTCACCGAGCTAGACGTTCTCACAGCTATTCGAAACGCTACGGTATAATATTTACATGTTTATGCATGCATGTGTGTGTGTGTGTGTACAGATAAGCATATACAGTACTTTTTGAAAACCTTTGTGGATCTTCTCAACTTCCTTTTCTCACTTTCTTAAAAGTAAAGTGCATTTAATGCACCATATGTGTCACCAAACCGAATTACAGGAATAATGACAATTATTTTTCAAAACAGGTTTTTCTGGACGCAGTGTTATGGTACAATGCATCCTATTCATGTCCTCAAATTGAAGAGTTTTGGAAACAAATAATTTCTGGATCAGTAGTCATGGAAAATCTAGAATTTTAATTTACATGTTTATGCATGCATGTGTGTGTGTGTGTGTACAGATAAGCATATACAGTACTTTTTGAAAACCTTTGTGGATCTTCTCAACTTCCTTTTCTCACTTTCTTAAAAGTAAAGTGTGCATTTAATGCACCATATGTGTCACCAAACCGAATTGCAGGAATAATGACAATTATTTTTCAAAACAGGTTTTTCTGGACGCAGTGTTATGGTACAATGCATCCTATTCATGTCCTCAAATTGAAGAGTTTTGGAAACAAATAATTTCTGGATCAGTAGTCATGGAAAATCTAGAATTTTAAAATTGTGATTTCTAGGCATTCAAAATGTAACAAATCTTAATGTTAATAAAATAATTTCTTAAAATCTTTAAAAGTTATTGAAAATGCATGGGAATATCTGTAGTGTAATAACTACACTAATGTTCAAGAGTTTAGTGTTGGTAACTTTTTTCAGTGTTTTTGAGTGAAGTCTTTTATGATTACTTATTTGATAAAAAAGACAGTAAAATCAGGAATATTGTGAAATATTACAATTTGAAGTAGCTGCTTTCTATTTGAATATATTATAAAATATAATTTATTGCTGTGATCAAAGCTGAATTTTCAGCATCATTACTCCAGTCTTTAGTGTCACATGATCCTTCAGAAATCATTGTAATATGCTGATTTGCTGCTCAAGAAACATTTCTGATGATGATTATCAATGTTGAAAACAGCTTTACACCTTAATATTTTTTGTGAAAACACTGCCAAAAAAAACAACAACAACAGAAATTAATGCATTAAGTTTAGTGTTGGTAACTTTTTTCAATGTTTTTGAGTGAAGTCTTTTATGATTACTTATTTGATAAAAAAGACAGTAAAATCAGGAATATTGTGAAATATTATTACAATTTGAAGTAGCTGCTTTCTATTTGAATATATTATAAAATATAATTTATTGCTGTGATCAAAGCTGAATTTTCAGCATCATTACTCCAGTCTTTAGTGTCACATGATCCTTCAGAAATCATTGTAATATGCTGATTTGCTGCTCAAGAAACATTTCTGATGATGATTATCAATGTTGAAAACAGCTTTACACCTTAATATTTTTTGTGAAAACACTGCCAAAAAAAACAACAACAACAGAAATTAATGCATTAAATTGATCAAAAGTGACAGTAAACACATTTAGAATATTGCAAAGGATTTATGTTTGAAACAAATACCATTCATTTGTATCCTGATTTCCACAAAAATTTAAACTGTTTTCAACATTAATGATAATAACCATTATCAATAATCGAATACCAAAAATAATTGGTGATAACTGAACAGCAAATCAGCATATTATTATGATTTCTGAAGGATCATGTGACACAGAAGACTGGATTAATGATGCTGAAAATTCAGCTTAAGATATTTTCAAATAGAAAGCAGCTACTTCATATTGTAATAATATTTCACAATATTCCTGATTTTACTATATTTTTTGATCAAATAAGTGCTGAAAATTAAACGTGTTTAAATCTTAATTAAAGCTGAATTATTCCAGACTTTTGACTGGTACTCTATATATTTGTTTATATATGTCTGAAATATTTCTCCTGGTAAAAGTTGTTCTCCATGAGTGCAGTCACTATTAAATTAATCATAAAAGCCATGGAAAATCATTGGTCAGAATTTGTGGACACACTGTAACACTTGTATAACAGATGCAGACTAGATCTGGGTTAACTGTATTTGTTGTTGTGATGGATGTAGGGTCCTCGGCCGGCGCTGTTTGTTCCTGAGGTCAGTTTTGAGCTGCTGGTGAAGAAACAGATCAAGAGACTGGAGGAGCCCAGTCTGCGCTGTGTGGAGCTCGTACACGAGGAACTTCAGAGAATCATCCAGCACTGCTCTGCCTACAGCACACAGGTGCTTCACTGACTATTAATATTTGATGCAGAGCATCCACGCTTGTATTGTAACGTGTGTAGTTAGATGTTAAAGGAGTAGTTCACTCAAAAAAAAAAAAAATTCTTCAAAATGTATTCACCTTCAGTCCATCCAAGATATAGATGAGTTTGTTTCTTCCACTTGCTCACCAATGGATCCTCTGCAGTGAATGGGTGCCGTCAGAATGAGTCCAAACAGCTGATAAAAACATCACAATAATCCACAAGTAATCCACACCACTCCAGTCCATCAATTAACATCCTGTGAAGTGAAAAGCTGCTTGTCTGTAATAAATAAAACCATCGTTAATACGTTTTAAACGTCACTTCTGGCCAAAAGAGTCCATAATCCATAATAACGCTTCCTCCATTGAAAAGTCCATCCTCTGTTGTCTCTCACATCAAAATCCACTGACATATTTGCTTAAAACTGTCCTTGATCTGTGCATATTTCTCTCCTGATTCAGATGAGACAACCTTTTCACTGAAGAAAGCAATATTATGGATATAGAGAGTTCATTTAAGTCGGAAACAACAGTTTGAATTTAAAAACTATTATTTTCTTACAAAAATGCAGCTTTTGGCTTCACAAGACATTAACTAATGGACTGGAGTGGATTATTGTGATGCTTTTATCAGCTGTTTGGACTCTCATTCTGACGGCACCCATTCACTGCAGATGATCCATTGCTGAGCAATTGATTCAGTGCTACATTTCTCCAAATGTGTTCTGATGAAGAAATAAACTCATCTACATCATGGATGGCCTGATTTTCAGCTAATTTTAATTTCTGGGTGAACTGTTCCTTTAATGTGGTTGTGTCATCAATACCAGTATCATTTTTTTGCGTGGTGCATTTTGTGGCTCAGTTTTCATAAATGTTTTTGATGGATTAGGGAGGAAGCATTGCGACGTGAATGTTAGAATGTTTTCTGCATAGTACATCACACTCTGCTATTTCAAACAAGCAAGAAACAATTCTGTTTTCCATTTCTACAAAATGAAATGTGAAGAGGAGAATGAAAGCTTTTTACACAGGCACAACAGATTGACACACACAGACTCGGAACAGCCTGCATTTGGATTCTGCTCCTCATTCTGCTCTTATCTTCTCTGTCCTGCTGCCTTCCTTCACTGTGTACATTTGTTTTACATTAAAAAAAATTTAGGTTTCCTCTATTATATACATAAATTTAACTTCAGAATGTCTGCTGGAGGGAACACGGGGAACAGATTTGATGCTCATAATATTTGGAAGTGCGTTGGGTGAATAATATTGCTTTCACTCTTTCACACAGGAAGTGTAAAAGTGCTTTAAATAATTGACAGCTAACCTACCGTATGTATGTGTGTTTGTTTATGTCCGAAGGAGCTTTTGCGGTTTCCCAAACTGCATGACTCAATAGTGGAGGTGGTTACCAGCTTACTCAGGAAACGCCTGCCCATTACCAATGAGATGGTAGGAACACTTGGCTGTGTGTTACAGTCATTTAATCATGATTAAGGGCTGTTCTTAGACAGAATGCAATCTTTCATAGAACAGTAGAAACATCAAAATGATAAAAGACCAAACTGTATAATAACATGTATTAAGTATAATATGAAATGAGAGGTCAGAGTTCTCACTCTTGAGTTTTTAGTCCAATTTGAGGTTGATCAATCAGTGTTTCAACGGTTTCTGAGTTCAAGGCACATAAAGTCCTTTTTTTCAATCATAGTGTAATCAAATTATGTCCAAGTGTCATTAAGGTTTTTTTTTTTTTTTTACGTTGCTTTTAAAATTATGATTATTATTTTTTTGGCTGTTATAATTAATAGTCACCTTCTTTTCATAAAATTGGTCGTTAGATCTTTGGTAAACACCACAAATGTCAAGATGATGAGCAAGTCTGTAATGCAATACCTAATGCACAGATCTGTATTTAGACATTTATCTGAATCATTTTTGATGACATCTCTTTACATTCATATATATGTATTAATTGGTATCAGGGTTAGTATTGAATATGTAATTGTGTATGCTCCTTCTGCTTATTTTTACAGTACATTTTTTACAATCTTTAGCAAATCATAATAAAATAAATATGCATTTTTCATACAATACATTATAATGTTGTGATGCCTAAATTCACATTGTGAGTTAAAATTGAGGTGAAAACACTGATTTGTGTGGAGAAATAATTAACTCTGATTGCATGGATTCCTATTGAAATAACTGGATTTTACCAACAATCCACAGTTCGAAAATTCACCAAACAATGGTGAATGTGACCACGTCCTAACTGATTTGTAGTGTTGTATTCTAAATGTATTAAAATAAATTAGTGTGTAATGTTAATATCGGCCATTTATTGGTTATCGGTTATCAGTAGTAACATTACAATAATTATCGGCTTATTGATATCACCCAATATTATTATTATTTTTTAATGTATTGGTATCTGTTAGTATTGGATGTGTAATTGTAAATGTAAAACATTTAATTTAATTTCGCCATCATCCAACACTCACTTACAGGTTCTCTCTAAAAACACCATTAATTATAATCTTCATGAAATCATAATAAAATGAACATCTATTTTAAATTGCTGTCATTTTGGCAAAATTTCACTGGCAAGAAGTCCACTGTCTGTTTGCCTGACCAACTTGATTTCTGAGGAGAAATCACCAAAAATCCGATTTCAAAAATGTTGAAAATCGCTTAACAGTAAATGTGATTTTAATTTTTGGTGTTTTATTTTTTTTTTAATTATGTAATTATGTAATATTGGCTATTTATTGGATATGTTGGGAACATGAACATAATTATTGATACCAACATCAGCCTTACTGATAGCGGCCAGAATTTTTATTTGCTTCATCCCTACCCCAAACGCACACAATATATATCATACATCAAAGATCCTGAGTGCGTGACACATTCAGAGCACACTTTTGGCTAATTCTGAAAACGTGTCATCATGTTAACTCATGTTTCTTCTTCACAGGTTCATAATCTAGTTGCAATTGAGTTGGCCTATATAAACACCAAACATCCTGATTTCACAGACGCTGCCCAAGTGTCTGCATCTGTCAACAGCCAGCAGGTACTAAAACTCTCTCTCTCTCTGTCTCTCTCTCCAAATCCAAACGGGAGTAGTTTTTGTTTTATTGTCTCTTTCACAGGCGGAGGCTGGGGATGGAGGTAAGCAATGGAAGAATGAGAAGATGCCGTCGGAGGAGAAGGGCCCTGTGCCAGGGTTTGGGAGTCCCAATAAAGCCGTCAACCTGCTGGACACGGTACGTCTTTGCTATCTCATAACTGCAGAAGTCAACAATACCTGCACATTCAAAAGAAAACAACTTCTGAAAATGTTTCTGAAGGCCGTGCCAGTGTCCCGCAAGCTGAGCACTCGAGAGCAGAGGGACTGTGAGGTCATCCAGCGGCTCATCAAGTGCTACTTCCTGATCGTGCGCAAGAGCATCCAGGACAGGTCAGATTCATAGTGCCTGTCCATGTAGGAGCCAAATAACTGGATGAGCCACTTCGCATCTGATAGTTTTTTTTTCTCTGCTTTCTGTAGTGTGCCAAAGACGGTGATGCACTTCCTGGTGAATTTTGTGAAAGAGCATTTGCAGAGTGAGCTGGTCGGTCAGCTCTACAAACAGCGTCTGCTGCAGGAGCTGCTCATCGAGTCTCAGGAAACGGCTCAGCAGCGCACGGAGGTTGCACAGATGCTGGAGGTACGACTGTGTGTGTTTGAAGGACATTTAAACCTCTTAATGCATTGGGGTCAGTTTTGCCCCAGAACAGATAAATAAACATTTCAAAAAAAATTAAGGGTGTGCGATAATGACAAAAAATTATATCTCGATATTTTCTGGAATTTTGTCAGTAACTATAATTAGACGATATTTTGCTGAGCGTGTTATTGTGCTGGTACTTTGAAAAAAAAAATTGTGTTGAGGTGGTACAGATTCTGCATCTGAAGTGGCATTTAGATGCATGCACACAGACTATTTAATGCAGGACATGAATGCAGTGCAGTTAACCTGCAGTTGCAAATGCATAAATTATGTTTTGATGTTGAATACTGATATTTGAAATGATTTGGAGGAAAAAAGGGAAAATATACTTTAAATATAAACCTAAAATCACCAGTAGGTGGTGGTAAATCACTGCATGAGTGAGTAATTGAGTCATTCATTCAACCGATTCGTTCAAAGGCTGATTGATGCAGTAACGAAACAGAGATACAAAACAGTTCTGCTGTGGCTTTGTTTGAAACCATTTTCGTTGATGAAATAGAGCAAAAACAAGAACTGTTGTGTCTAAAATGTAAGTCAGTTAATATTAAAGGTGGGGTAAGTGATTTCTGGTAGCCAATGTTGATATTTCAAATCACCAAA